AAAATTAAGATTAAACCTTAAAATATGCCTACTTAATTATTTTATAAAAAAATACAAAAATAAAATTGAAACTATTTTAAACGGTATAATTATTATTATCAAGGATGGCTTTTTTTTCACTTTTTTTATCTAATTCACATACTGTTTATAACGGCTCCGTCTATAATGTCGTTTCTCATATAAGAGCATGTTTTGGCAGGTAATAGTCATTTTACACTTAATAAATTTGTTGTGTGTTTTATTTATTCAATTCCTACATAATTAAATATATATGTTTCACCGAACTTTTAATTACTAATATAACAAAGATAATATAAGTTGTATGTCCTATTTTGTAAGGGGATTTCCCAAATAGTAAGTTAATTGCTTTTAAAGGTACTTACAATTCTGAAAAGGTAATTATGGAAAACCTACCCCCATGTTACTAAATGTGTTCCTGATACCTGCTGCTGTTAAGTAGGTTAATATTTTAAAATAGGAAATTTGGGTAGGTTTTGAAAATTTCTCGAAATCCTTTCGATTATGTAAGATATTCATGATCGCAAATTGTACCTACTTATGTACATGTAAAGGTTTCAAACACCAAACAGTCTCTTTTTTATGTGTTTGCCGACATAATAAACAACTTCAAAATAAGAAAAGAGGCAAACGAAGTAAGTTTAAACTAATTTATTCGTCCCTTTGGTGTAGTGATGGTTGTACAAAAACAATGTTAAAAACTAGAAGTTCCAATTAAGCAAAAGTTTAAACTGCAACTAACTGATTTCAGTATTTTTGAAACATACAACTGGTTTTTACCCTCAAGATGCTTTTAGACATTTTATATATACGATTTTCGTTGAGGCATGGGACAAAAAGGTAAATATGTAAAACTGCAATAAATCTGTCAATAATGAATTTGGAAACTGAAGTGGATATGTAAAAGAATCTAGGGGTTTCTCACAAACGATAAACAAGGGGTTTTAAGTGTACGGGTGACGGTAACAAAGATATTATGAGGAAAGGGACGATTTTAAACTAGACTAGGCTACAAATTAATGACACAAAAAAAAAAATGGAAAACGAAATGAATACAAGTTACAAGAAATATGATATAAGGTTAAGATTAGTGTTATTTGAAAGAAGTTATTGAAAGGTGCATTTTTGACATTTGATAATTAAGTTTGGTATTAAATAATATGGATCAGTGATAAAATGTGAGGGGTATCCAACATTAGAATAAAGAATATAAAACTACAAGTATTTATTTGATGAGGTTATGTTTTACAGTCTCCCCTTTGGCTCGGGTGGTCTGGGAGGAGATATTCCACTATCTGATCTCTTAAATTGGGAAAAATCGTACATTTGGTGTAGGAGTATGGTACCTGGAAGGAAGTAATTCTAGTAATTCTCCGAAACAGTCTTCGTTCTTCTCGAGAATTTTCAGAACTCCTATTGTTATGCGGTAAATATGTGCCACTCAGGATATAATTTATTATCCTACGCGTCCATAGTACAAAAGTACCTTTGATGTTTTTGTCCGATTTCAAAATCTATAACCGATTAATAACTGCTTATTAATAATTAAGATATTGATGCGATTCATCTGGATAATACAGAGAAGCATTCATAACAATGAATTAGTGCTTAGAATAAAACATTAATGCATACAAAACAATTGGAAATGCATTCACTGTTGTGAATACATGCCATTGTTATGGCAGACGTAATCTTTTGTGAATATTAGATACATTGAGCACCACGGATCAGTGTGACTAAAAATACATTGACAATCGACAATGATCACCCTTTTCCAAATTTTCCTCTAAACTCGTCATAAATTATGTAACCGAAAATATCGCGAAGTCGAAGATGAAAACTACGCTGAGGATTATAGAAAGCTTTCCTAATAAAACGTAAATGTAATTTCTTAGGCGGGAGGGAGTGGGGTGCGCTTTCGTCCTTGAAATAAGGGATAAATGTCGCGAAAATGAAGAGGGAAATTACGCGAAAATGATAAAATGCTTTCCTAATAAGGAGCAAATCCGATATCCTACTCGGGAGAGGAAGTTGCGCTTTCATCCCTGAAATCAGGAGAGAATATCGCGAAGGCGAAGGTGGAAACTACGCGGAGGATGGTAAATTGCTTTTCTAATAAGGAGTGTAAGTGTAATTTCTTAGCCGGGGAGTGTTGCGCTTTTGCACCTAAAATCTGTTAAAATTATTTCGAAGGCGAAAGTGAAAACTACGCTGAGAATGGTACTAAACTTTCGTAATAACGAGTAAATGTAATATCAAAGCCGGAAGGGAGTGTTGCGGTTTCGTTCCTAAAAATCTGTTAAGAATATCGCGAACGCGAAGGTGAAAACTACGCTGAAGATAGTACAAAGCTTTCCTAATAAGGAGTAAATTTGTAATATTATAGCCGGGAGGGGTGTTGCGCTTTCGTTCCTAAAATTTGTTAAAAATATCGCGAACGCGAAGGTGAAAACTACGCTCAAGATAGTACAATGCTTTCCTAATAAGGAGTAAATATGTAATATCATAGCCGGGTAGAGTGTTGCGCTTTCCTTTTTAAAATTTGTTAAAAATATCGCGGAGGCGAAGGTGAAAACTACGCTGAGGATGATAAAATGCTTTCCTGATAAAAAGTAAATACAATTTCCTACCCGGGACGGAGTGTTACGCTTTCGCTCCTGAAATTAGGTAAAAATAAGTCGGATGTGGAAACTACGCGGAGGATGGCAAATTGCTTTTCTAATATGGAGTAAATATAATATCATAGCCGAGATGATGGGTCGCGTTTTCGTCCCTAAAATCTGTTAAAAATATTGCGAACGCGAAGGTGAAAACTACGCTAAGGATGGTACAAAGCTTTTCTAATAAGGAGTAAATGTAATATGACAGCCGGGAGGGAGTATTGCGCTTTCGTCTCTAAAATCTGTTAAAATTATATCGAAAACTACGCTGAGGATAGTACATAGCTTTCCTAATAAGGAGTAAATGTAATATCATAGACGGAGGGAGTTTTGCGCTTTCGTCCCTACAATTTGTTAAAAATATAGCGAAGGCCAGGGTGCAAAGTACGCTGAGGACGAAACAAAGCATTCTCAATGAGAAATAAATGTAATTTCTTACCAGGGACGCAGTGCTACGCTTTCGCTCTTAAAATTATGTAAAAATATAGCATAGTCGAATGTGGAAACTACGCGGAGGATGGTGAATTGCTTTTCTAATAAGGAGTAAATGTAATTTCTTAGCTGAGGGAGTGTTGCGCTTTCGTACCTAAAATATGTAAAAATATCGCGAAGACGAAAGTGAAAACTACGCTGAGGATGGTACAAAGCTTTCCTAATAAGAAACGAAAGTAATATCATAGGCGGGAGGGAGTGTTGCGCTTTTGTCCTTGTAATCAGGGGAAAACATCACGAAGGCGACCGTGGAAACTACGCGGAGGAAGGTAATATGCTTTCTTAATAAGAAGTTAATGCAATTTCTTAACTGGGAGGGAATGTTTCGCCTTTGCTCCTGAAATCAGGGGAAAGTATCACGAAGGCGAAGGTGGAAACTACGCGGAGGACGGTAAAATACTTTCCTGATAAGGAGTAAATGAAATTTGGTACTCGGGAGCCAATGTTGCTCTTTCTGTTGCTCTGAAATCAGGCAAAAATATCGCGGAGTCGAAGGTGGAAACTACGCGGAGGATGGTAAAATGCTTTCCAAATAACGAGTAAATGCAGTTTCTTACCTGGGTGGGAGCGTTGCGCCTTTGTCCGACTGATCGTGAATGGTTCACTGGATAAAATGCCCGCGTCAAATGCGGACGGCGATGAGGCGACCTAGGTTCTGTTCATGACCGAAGCAGTAACTTTTTCTCTTAATTTATATCTGCTTTGTAAACCGCCTACCTCGGATTGGCTTGGAATTACAACTCTCGCGATTGTCCTTCGCTAGTAACCCGGACTGAATATATGTATTATCCATACGAACAATAAATAGCCAAGCGATACGCAAATGTTCGGTTAGGATCGGCTTACAACTTTGCTTACATGTAAACATAAGATGCAGAATGACATTCGGCGTCTGCAGTTTATACTTAGATATATAGGTGTTGGGTAATAGTTGTATGGGCCATGTTACGTTTTATTACACCCATAACGATTTTGTCTAGTCTGAGCTGTGAGAAATAGGATGACCTTGAATTTTAGTACAACCACAATTTAAAAAATAATATACAAACTGTTGAGTTACCAGCAGGAACCAGGTCTGCCCTTTGTACAAGCTTTCAATTTTTGTATTAATCTCATGCGTCTGCACAATATACACCCGGGGAACCCCCAAATGCTCAACTATTACGTTTTTAGTTATATATGGAGAAACAATTCATTGTAGCACGGTCAACATGACCAAAAGTATACGTATGTTTTGGGCATCTTCATTTTTAATCAAAAATATTTTAAGTTAGATAATATTTATAAAAATCATACGTGATTCATCATGCTCTCCTGTCACAAGGGTAACTCGAGTTCGATAACCGGCTATTGCAATACTTTTTTTTCATATTTAGGTAAGGATTAATCTGTTTGTTTATAATTTGCTTTGAATTTCAAATAACTTTCTTTTGAATATTCAAATTTTTGCTATGACAAGACAAAGTGTAGCTACATATTTTAGAGTATTATGTTGAATTGTTCGGATATAGCGACATACGGTTATAACGACCAAGAGTGTCTTTATAATTGGTATTTATAGACACACTTTTTTGTTTTATTCTTTAAATGTCCCCGAAGTACTTAAGCAAGGTCTTGAGAATTTAGTGCGTATTTTTTTTATTTAGTAGTGACTTCCAGCCAAGTTACTTAGCGCCATTGGCTGTTTAAGTAAGAGTGGGGAGTAGTATTTAGAGAATCCCGTGTCCTCACCCTCAGTGACTCAGTTTTGTTCCGAATTCCTTGCGATTTGCATACATTTAAATAAAATTGTAAAATGCAGTGTGATGAGTGTGGTCTAGTGGTGAATTAATGAGTTATCGAAGTTGGCGAACAATAGCTAAGGTCTTGGGGCAAGTTTACATATTTGTGTTTCTATATACTAACAGAAGACTATGTGCTGATGACCTCGGATTGTATATATTTACCATACTATTACATAGAGATTGATATAAAGCAAGTCAAACGACTTCAGGTTTAGGTAACCTGGTGAGCATCAGCGTTTCAGTCGACCTTAGTCGTCGAGAGAGTGCTTTGTGAACAGTTTTCAAGTATTATATTGGCGGGAAACAAAATAATATAATATTAATTTATGAAATGAAAATTAACAGATAGTACTACTGTAAGACATCATGTGCAGTTATGTTTTTGTTAAATTTATTCAGTAGGTACCTGGTACCAAACAAACTGTGATGTATATGCCTGTTTGATTGAAAGAAAAAGTTTTTCTTTAGCACCTCTTTAAAGGTATCTAGATTTAAATAAGTGTAAAAGTAGGTGATGGTTGTTTGTTTTTTAATATCAGCGGTAAATGTGAGCGTATTTTTTTACTAAATTCATTTTAATTGACTGTTGTGGTGATAGGGCGGAATTTGTCAAGTTTATTTTTCGTAATAAATCAAATTTCTATTATTTTACTGATTATTATTCTAAAGGTCACAATAACTAGTGGTGACTCAGAAACGTGAAGACGCCTGCCTATCATGGGTCGCGTGCAGCAGTAATTAAGAAAAGTTGAAGAAAAACACAAAGTGAAAATTAAAAACGATATCAAATAGGAAATTATTAGTATTGATAAAATGTACAACGTATTTATATTAATCAATTAAAAAAAAGGAAAAATAAATTAATGTTCACTAGCATTTTTTTTTTGCGATATTATATCAATCTCTCAGGATGCTGTAGTATTTTATGATCAACTAACATTAATATATTTTTTGTCTAGGATTGTTTTTGTTGTAATTTGAGGCAAATTTACATAAATTGTCTATTTATAGCTTAACTTGATAGTTCACAATGTTTGATTGAATTTGTGTGTTACCAAGATAAGTACAATGTACCACATTATATGCATCGATTACAGTATTTGCATTTGCTAATGTTGATAAATCTCTTATCAATACCGGTTCCTGAACATGATTTAAGAAGCAATAGATAAATAGTATACCTATTTGGAATCTTGCAATTAAGTTACAACTATTAGAAATGAATAAACAAAGACCCCTGTTTTTAATATGTCGGTATTATATTGACACGTATATATTTCAATATATAGGGTGTTCGTTTTTTAATACCAATACGTACTGCCCATCAACTTACCACTTAAATAATTTCATTCAAGTTATTCATTCAGCAATTTTTTAGTATAAAGTGTTAAGTAGGGGATGAAATTGATCATTTAAATTGTATACCGAGTGTTTGGAAACTACGTAACCTATAAATATAGGTACTAGTGATTATTAGAGTACTTTTTAAAGATAAAAATTTAAATAGATTGGCTTTTATAGAAGGAGTCGTTCCCAACAATTTAAATCTGAGTGTTATTATTGTTGACACTTAAGGTGTTTTTTTTTCTTTATTCTAGACGGTGGGCGTGTAAACCGCATTTTAGAATTAATTGGAGTTTTGATTACAGAAGATGATGAAGGTTATCAAAGGCGTAAAGGTAGCCGTTTTTCTGTTAAAATAAATTTTTGATTTGGTACGCAGAGGTTAATAGAATTTATTGTAATAATGGTGAGGGATATAACGCATCTAACTATTATAGATACTATTTTCGTTCAAGAGATTGAAACTAATTCAAAAGGAATGGGGTAGTAACTATATGTGCATCATACATGTCAAAATTGTTGAGAGATTGTTGATTTATCCGGGCCGATCGAAGAATCACTTCGATTATTGTGCATTCTGTACAATGAACATACGTTTTAGATTATTTACACGTAATATCAAAGAGCATGTAAGTTAGAATACGTAACGCATGTCGTTGAACAATTGGTTGAAAGCAATCTCTCGATAATGTTAATGAAAAGTATGAATTTTCTAAGTTTGTTCGTTTAGTTAATTTAATTGTAGGTACTAAGTTGACTTTTAATGTATATAATTCTACCTTTGATTATATTAACTATGTATTATAGCATTGTGCAAATTTTAGTAATCAAAACATCTAATCTGGAAAAGAATCGTAGTGTAAATAAATAATAACAACTTGATTTCCACCATTTTGTTTTAAATATTGGCAATTTTTTATCCCATCGTATTGTTAATAAGGCGTAATGATGCAATAATATCTACAACATCCCTCATACAGTCCTTCAATCTCCCGAAGGGCGGCCAGTTTTGGTCGAGTTGGAGAAAGTTCGAATTAAAGAAAATTTGTACTTTTGTTTCGAATAATATTCTCTGATAACCCTTAGAATTAGGGTTTTAAGGGATATCCGCGCCCCTTTCACTCCGATTATAATTGAATGCGAATGAGATATTTGGCGTAGATAGATAGTGATTTTTTTCGGGTATTGGATAACCGCGTACCCAGCATTAGCAGTTCCGCGCATCCGACAAAATCACTACAATTAATAGTTCATGTCTTCGTTCCGGCAGCGAACATGAAAAACATCTTACATATGTTGCTGGGTCGATCTCTAATCCACTGTATCATTACGTCTTCTGAAAATGACCTGATAGGGTGAAACATTGTCAAGATTTAAAATCAAACAGCTATTACTTAGGTATTTATTATTATTATTACAAACCGTAATAACTACTTATGTAAACCTTATTATTAAAGTTAATAAACATTAAATATTAAAGCTCCAGAAGCAGTCAGTTCAGATCTAGGTTTGTAGGTGCTTTCTCAAAATGGTATTGTAAACTTTGTATTAACAGAATAAAATTATTTTAGTCTATTAATCCTGAAGTTGAGGAATCTAGAAGTGCTTAATTCTTTACGTGTTATCAGTAGCAACATAATTATGTAAATTTTCTATTTTTTGCAGATTCGGACTCCTGTAGATCAGAAAACGTATAATCAACTAGTATCGGAACCCCATGTAGCTCTTACTAGAATTAACGAGATGTTCAGTTATAGTAGGTTGGTAAATTGAAAACTATATTTTTAAAATAAGGTTGCGAATAAGGTATTCTCGATTAGCATTAAGATAAAAACACTTAGCTGGTTTTTCTTTCCAACCACTTTCAATTTAATTACGAAAATCTGCTTTTTATTACAAATTTGATATCATAACCGGCCAATTTCGAGAATTAACAAGGACACAGCTGTGTTATCAGCTAATTATGTGTATGTCGGCAGGAAACGGAAGTGGCAATGGTTTGCAGATAACACATGATGATCGAAGCTGTTAGTTGTTAATTGATCACGTTAATTAATAAGAGCTCCCGCGCTTTTGTAACTTTTGTTATCAGTAGAGAGAGCCCGTCGTTCGTTCAAATATGTTACTGTAATTGTATTGTATAATAAGTGTAATGGTAACGTATTATATGGCACAATAACATGTTGAGTGTACAATGTATACCTTTTGACTGCCCCAGAGTTCAGAATTAATGAAAAGGGGGAGGAAGTGTGATATGGAAGGTTATCCGGTTGATAAGATTTGCAGAATTTGTTTAAAAAAGCGAGAGTAATATAGAACATCCACCAATGAATTTATGTTATATATCAAAGCCCGCTTCGTACTATCGGTCTTGTTGCGGTCAGGTCAAAATATCGTTGATTGGTGAGAGATTCCGCGATGAATTGGTCAGACCGTGGTTTGACCGTTCCTTGTATGTAGTACGAATACTATCATGAAAAGTAAACTATAATACTTTACTTAACTCTGACTTAACCGTGACTTGACCAAGCGTATGTATCAGGCTTAATTGACGACCGTTATTTAACCGACAGTGTGACGAATTGGTTGGACCGTAATTTAATCGTTCCTTATGATATAAATACTACCACATGAAATGTATGGTATAATATTTTACTTGACTGTTGCCGAACCGTGACTTGACCGTCGTTTGGCTGATCCTCGTGGTAGATTCGAAAACTGACTTACGAAATGTATGCTACCATATTTTACTTGAGTGTGAACTGACCGGACCGCAACTTGACCGTGATTTGACCGATAATATCTATCGGGTTTAACAGACTAGATCATGATTTTAATCGTTCTCTAAAGTTGAATAGTACCACATGAAATGTTTGGTACAATATTTTACTTGACTTTAACCGTAACTTGACCGAAAGTATGAGTAGGTTTTAATTGACTGGACCGTGGTTTGGCCGATCCTTACAGTAGGTACGAATACTGTCATGTGAAATGTATGCTACAATTTTACTTGAGTGTGAATTGACCGGACCGCAACTTGACCGATAATATGTATCGAGTTTAACTGACTGGACCATGATTTTAATCGTTTCTTAAAGTTGAATAGTACCACATGAAATGAATGGTACAATATTTTACTTGACTTTAACCGTAACTTGACCGAAAGTATGAGTAGGTTTTAATTGACTGGACCGTGGTTTGGCCGATCCTTACAGTAGGTACGAATACTGTCATGTGAAATGTATGCTACAATTTTACTTGAGTGTGAATTGACCGGACCGCAACTTGACCGATAATATGTATCGAGTTTAACTGACTGGACCATGATTTTAATCGTTTCTTAAAGTTGAATAGTACCACATGAAATGAATGGTACAATATTTTACTTGAGTGTGAGCTGACCGAACCGCAACTTGACCGTGAAGTATGAATCAAGCTTAATTGAATAGACCGTGATGTGGCCGATCCTTATAGTACGAATACTGTCATATCAATTGTATGCTTCAATATTTTACTTGACTGACCTGACTGCTACTTGACCGCGATTTGACCGATTGTATGAATCGGGCTTAAATGACTGGATGATCGTTCTTTATAGTATGAATATTATGTTGAATGTATGCTGTAATATTTTACTTGACTGTTACCGGACCGCGACTTGACCGAAAGTATGAATCGGGCCTGTAATTATTGAATGTAATTCTTAATTCTCAATATAATGTCAATGGGATGTCGGGACGATGAAAGGGGAATCGTTTGTAGTATATTTTAATTGTTAAAAAATATATGAGTAGTTACAAATAGTTAGTGTTTTTGTCGATTTTCTTTTACATTTGTACATACCCTCTATACAGATATAGGACCAGGAGACACGACGACGATGACATTTACGGGCCGAATTTTGAGGACGAAGAAAGCTATTATCGTTTTCTAAACGAACGGAACAATCACCAATATTTTGACGGAAATTCGGACTTTAACTATGAGACAGGTTCATACAGGCAAGTTTTAAGCCACCATTTAAACCATCGTTTAAAAATATCTTACACTGGCCTTATTTCAGGGATGCATACTCTGATTACCACTATTCGGGTGAATTCGCCAGACCTGCTAGGTTGCGACAACCGTGAGTTCTTGATCACTTCCGTCAGTTTATGTAGTAGTAGGAATAGTTTCTCATCTTTCAGGGATCCATCATACCATCGGTACGCCCCATATCCGTACAGAGGGACCCAGTATCGACCACCTTTTAGAGGACGACAGAGGGGCCATTCTACATTTGCCATACCAAAAGGGCTACCTCCAAAAAAATGGAAGCCGCCGTCTGGCCCTTCTTGCGAACAAGTGTTAAAATCGCGGGTGCCATCAGTGCAAAGTGCCAAAGTGAATTCTTCAGAAGATGCCATCGTAAAGGATAGTTCGTGTAGTGACAGTTTGTGTTCCCCTGTTCAAAAAACTACAAGTGTCCCTTCTTGTGAGACTGTTCCGAAAAGTGGTAGCCCAACAGAAGAAACCGCGAAAGTTGTCGACGCATCGGATGTAAAGACTGAATGCAACACCACTATGGAAATGGAAACTGTGTGCTTTGAAGCACCCGCCGTTGAAGATATTGTTGATTTCATCGGTAATGAAGAAGGCGTACAAATGACGAACGACGAAACGTGTAAAAGTGCGTCTATAAAAGTGGAGTTGGAACCGATGGCTACATCAACTCCTACGTACGAGTCTATTGTGAAAGCTTCAAATCGTCCCGTTATACTTGTACCCGATAAATTGTCTGCTCCCGATTTTATTATCGATAAAAACGCTTCCTATCTTCCGAAGACTCCACCAAGTGAATCGAAGAAGGGGCTTGAAGAAAGGACCAAAGAAACGACGGTAAAAAATAACCTCGACACAACTAAAACGGTTGATGTATCAGGAGAGAAATCACCTGAGAATAACGTGAAGGATCCACCGAGTGAGTCGAAGAAGGAGTTTGAAGGAAAAGCAAAAGAAACGACGGTTAAAAATCAATCCGACACAACCAAAATGGTTAATGGGGCAAGCGAGAAATCACTTGGCAATAAATTGTCTGCTCCTGAATGTCCTTCTAACGTGAAGCCACCACCTACACCAAGTGAGCCGAAGAAGAAGAAGAACGAAGAGCGAGCAGACGAAACGACAGTAAAAAGTAAATGCGACACTAATGTGGCAGGAAAGACCCTTAGAACTAATGGCAATAACAATAAAGAGAAAATCTGTGTTAAAAGATCCACTTCGAAAAGAAGGATTTCCGGTGCATCTAGTTCTGTGAAGTCAAAGTTCGCAAAACTCGATGTTAGTTCGACTAAAGCGTCTTCTTCAAGTGGCCGATCAAAAGAAACTTCTAACGCCTTTAGTAAAGAGAACAAGGATGTGTCAACGTGTAGCAATAAGACATCTAAAATGGATGAAGCACGTTCAAAAAAGTCCAATGAAGATCTCGTTCATAAAAGTACCAAAACCAGCGATCTTCAGTCAAAAAAAACAACGGAAAAGGAGCCCCCTAAATCAAATGGGATTAACAAGATACGGATTCTTGAAAATGTTCGGCTTAATAACAAAGATGTTGGTAAATCTAATATCACAAAAGCGGGTCAAACTTCACCTAGAGAAAACCAAATCGGTAGTCCAAAAGAAGACAATGTTAGAAAACCAAAACAGATTGAAAAAGATCACAAACCTCAACAAAATAAACCATCAAATACGAAGAATAATGATTACGGTTCGAAGAATAAGCAAACACATTCCGCGGAACCAAAACATCCAAGGAGAGATCGAGATTATAATAATGCACCGAAAAAAGTTCCAAATCTCCAAAATGGGAACAACGACAAAGGCAACAAGCTTGATAAAGGACAGACTCAGTCCAGTGAATCGACTAAGACTCAGAAAGATCTTACTGTTACTGTTAAAGAACCACAAAGGGTCCCTGAAGCGTGCAACACAATCTTGTTGGCAGAGAAACCTGTTACACCTCCAAAACAACAGGAAATTTTACCAATTGTGACCGCAGAAGAAAGGAAAGCAGTAAACACAATGGAAAATAATGATAAGTCAGNAGGATATTACACAAATTTTTTACAATTTTTATTATTCTTTCATAAACCTTTCCAGCAAACCGGGGTCAAAAATCTTCAAGAATTCGTCTACAATTTAAATAGTTTACATACTTTTATTGTGATCCATCTTTGACATGTTTATTTTACCCAACATAAGAATAAAAAAACTTTTGTTCTGTCCGAGATTTGTTCCCGTGTCGCCCGAGCGGCAGATAATTATAAATTGCAACCTAAAATCGCGCGCAATTTAAATATATAAACACGTGGTAACTATGGCGATAACCAGTTTGAATAATTGTTATTTACGCCCAGCCTACTGAAATTCAAAAAACTATGTTAATTTTTGTTTAAACTTAATCCATATTTGGACAAAAATAAAATTCTCTGTCTTTGTATATTAAAAGATGTTGAATTTTGTACAAAAAAAGCTCTACTTTCGTGCAAATTTATGTTTGATTTTATAAATAAATCTTAAAAGCTATCCTTAAGAACGGATAATGTTTATTCGATATTTCTAATTCTTCTAACTGTAGATACGTACAACCAACAAGTTATTTACAAAGTAAGACTTATTATGAGGCAATTAGTAAACTTTGAGTACCGTTAGATGTTATATGGTCACCAAGTATGCATGTCTCTAATCATAATGATCTATGGTTAGTCATTAATAGTTGTGCAATGTCTTCTCTGGCAATGTCGTTAGTCTATGAATGTCGTCATTCATCATTATGTTTTGCTGTGATATGTAGTCATGTAAACAAAATTGGTTAAATTCAAATAAACATTTTAAATCATTTGTTTTATAAATTAAACAGTCAATGGCCACTTGTATTGTGTATCTAGTTACTTTTGCAGGTTAAATAAAGAAGTGGCAAGTACCTGATTTTTCCCCTTAAAAGAAAAATTGTGCTGATGAATTAAAAAATTGTAAGTTCACATTTAATGAAATATTAGGAAATGCATTCTTTTAATATTGTTTTGTAAAATTAATTTAAATTAGTACTAATCGACATGCTCAGTCCAAAACAAAGTACTTTGACTAACAATTCCAATAAGAATGCTGTACAGGAACTGCCGTTCAACCCAAAGGCAGCAGAAGTGTTTTCAGTGCAAAAAAAATATAGAGAGAAGATGATAAGGTATCTCAGTTTTTGTTTTCCCGAAATAGACGGTATTGTAAGTAATTCTCTTCTTATGTAGGTAGGTATTCATTTAATTAAATATGTTCTGTAGGAGTTACATGAAACATTAAAAGAATGTCTGTTTCAAGTGGATAAGGCAGTGAATGTACTTGAAAAGGTATCAGGAATTACTGTAACAACTGATTTTGTTACTTGGTTGAAAAGTATGAGTTTTAATGTGAAGGAAGTTAAAAAACTGATGAGGCCACCAAAGAGCGCTGTGCAAAATATTAATGAGCCAGGTAAATTATTTAAATTTTAGGATAATACACCAAATATCTATCGTGCTGTTTTAATATTATAACAGGCTACTGTTATACAGCTAACAGTTATATTTAAAAATAAAATTTGTGTTATTCTATTTGATTATTGTTTTTCATTACATACTTGTAATTCCATCTTTTAAATCAGTAGTTTTTAATTTTAGAGAACATTTTTAAATTAATGACTGCAAACCATGATGTACCTGAGAATATATCCCGAGAAGAACAAATTTTGAATATTGTAAGCATCTCTAGTGCATCCGTATACATTTTGACAACTAATTTTTTATTTTAAGATTGAAGACAATCAAATAATAGTAGAAAACGCGACCTTAATGCAACTCCTTGCAAAACCTGTTGTTCACATTGAAAGATTGCCCCTTTCAACTATAGAAAGCACATATCAAAACTTGAATAAAAAGTTATATTTGTAAGATAAAAATTCCTCTTTTTTTTTTACTCTCGTATAAAATTTGATTTTTTAGATCATCTCCACCTTACAAAAGAAACAAATCAGCAAGTAGTATTNTTTTAATCGTTCTCTAAAGTTGAATAGTACCACATGAAATGTTTGGTACAATATTTTACTTGACTTTAACCGTAACTTGACCGAAAGTATGAGTAGGTTTTAATTGACTGGACCGTGGTTTGGCCGATCCTTACAGTAGGTACGAATACTGTCATGTGAAATGTATGCTACAATTTTACTTGAGTGTGAATTGACCGGACCGCAACTTGACCGATAATATGTATCGAGTTTAACTGACTGGACCATGATTTTAATCGTTTCTTAAAGTTGAATAGTACCACATGAAATGAATGGTACAATATTTTACTTGAGTGTGAGCTGACCGAACCGCAACTTGACCGTGAAGTATGAATCAAGCTTAATTGAATAGACCGTGATGTGGCCGATCCTTATAGTACGAATACTGTCATATCAATTGTATGCTTCAATATTTTACTTGACTGACCTGACTGCTACTTGACCGCGATTTGACCGATTGTATGAATCGGGCTTAAATGACTGGATGATCGTTCTTTATAGTATGAATATTATGTTGAATGTATGCTGTAATATTTTACTTGACTGTTACCGGACCGCGACTTGACCGAAAGTATGAATCGGGCCTGTAATTATTGAATGTAATTCTTAATTCTCAATATAATGTCAATGGGATGTGACGATGAAAGGGGAATCGTTTGTAGTATATTTTAATTGTTAAAAAATATATGAGTAGTTACAAATAGTTAGTGTTTTTGTCGATTTTCTTTTACATTTGTACATACCCTCTATACAGATATAGGACCAGGAGACACGACGACGATGACATTTACGGGCCGAATTTTGAGGACGAAGAAAGCTATTATCGTTTTCTAAACGAACGGAACAATCACCAATATTTTGACGGAAATTCGGACTTTAACTATGAGACAGGTTCATACAGGCAAGTTTTAAGCCACCATTTAAACCATCGTTTAAAAATATCTTACACTGGGCTTTTTTCAGGGATGCATACTCTGATTACCACTATTCGGGTGAATTCGCCAGACCTGCTAGGTTGCGACAACCGTGAGTTCTTGATCACTTCCGTCAGTTTATGTAGTAGTAGGAATAGTTTCTCATCTTTCAGGGATCCATCATACCATCGGTACGCCCCATATCCGTACAGAGGGACCCAGTATCGACCACCTTTTAGAGGACGACAGAGGGGCCATTCTACATTTGCCATACCAAAAGGGCTACCTCCAAAAAAATGGAAGCCGCCGTCTGGCCCTTCTTGCGAACAAGTGTTAAAATCGCGGGTGCCATCAGTGCAAAGTGCCAAAGTGAATTCTTCAGAAGATGCCATCGTAAAGGATAGTTCGTGTAGTGACAGTTTGTGTTCCCCTGTTCAAAAAACTACAAGTGTCCCTTCTTGTGAGACTGTTCCGAAAAGTGGTAGCCCAACAGAAGAAACCGCGAAAGTTGTCGACGCATCGGATGTAAAGACTGAATGCAACACCACTATGGAAATGGAAACTGTGTGCTTTGAAGCACCCGCCGTTGAAGATATTGTTGATTTCATCGGTAATGAAGAAGGCGTACAAATGACGAACGACGAAACGTGTAAAAGTGCGTCTATAAAAGTGGAGTTGGAACCGATGGCTACATCAACTCCTACGTACGAGTCTATTGTGAAAGCTTCAAATCGTCCCGTTATACTTGTACCCGATAAATTGTCTGCTCCCGATTTTATTATCGATAAAAACGCTTCCTATCTTCCGAAGACTCCACCAAGTGAATCGAAGAAGGGGCTTGAAGAAAGGACCAAAGAAACGACGGTAAAAAATAACCTCGACACAACTAAAACGGTTGATGTATCAGGAGAGAAATCACCTGAGAATAACGTGAAGGATCCACCGAGTGAGTCGAAGAAGGAGTTTGAAGGAAAAGCAAAAGAAACGACGGTTAAAAATCAATCCGACACAACCAAAATGGTTAATGGGGCAAGCGAGAAATCACTTGGCAATAAATTGTCTGCTCCTGAATGTCCTTCTAACGTGAAGCCTCCACCTCCACCGAGTGAGCCGAAGAAGAAGAAGAACGAAGAGCGAGCAGACGAAACGACAGTAAAAAGTAAATGCGACACTAATGTGGCAGGAAAGACCCTTAGGACTAATGGCAATAACAATAAAGAGAAAATCTGTGTTAAAAGATCCACTTCGAAAAGAAGGATTTCCGGTGCATCTAGTTCTGTGAAGTCAAAGTTCGCAAAACTCGATGTTAGTTCGACTAAAGCGTCTTCTTCAAGTGGCCGATCAAAAGAAACTTCTAACGCCTTTAGTAAAGAGAACAAGGATGTGTCAACGTGTAGCAATAAGACATCTAAAATGGATGAAGCACGTTCAAAAAAGTCCAATGAAGATCTCGTTCATAAAAGTACCAAAACCAGCGATCTTCAGTCAAAAAAAACAACGGAAAAGGAGCCCCCTAAATCAAATGGGATTAACAAGATACGGATTCTTGAAAATGTTCGGCTTAATAACAAAGATGTTGGTAAATCTAATATCACAAAAGCGGGTCAAACTTCACCTAGAGAAAACCAAATCGGTAGTCCAAAAGAAGACAATGTTAGAAAACCAAAACAGATTGAAAAAGATCACAAACCTCAACAAAATAAACCATCAAATACGAAGAATAATGATTACGGTTCGAAGAATAAGCAAACACATTCCGCGGAACCAAAACATCCAAGGAGAGATCGAGATTATAATAATGCACCGAAAAAAGTTCCAAATCTCCAAAATGGGAACAACGACAAAGGCAACAAGCTTGATAAAGGACAGACTCAGTCCAGTGAATCGACTAAGACTCAGAAAGATCTTACTGTTACTGTTAAAGAACCACAAAGGGTCCCTGAAGCGTGCAACACAATCTTGTTGGCAGAGAAACCTGTTACACCTCCAAAACAACAGGAAATTTTACCAATTGTGACCGCAGAAGAAAGGAAAGCAGTAAACACAATGGAAAATAATGATAAGTCAGAATTTATAAAGAAATCACTATACCGACGAAAAAGTGTCGACTTGGGAGTGTTGAGTCATCGAAATGAATTGTCTGCTATCCAGAGAAAACGACGGGCAAAGTCCGTCGGTCCGATAACAGACGTAGGTGATTTTTTCACTGGCTTTAGACTGACGAGATCCAAATCCCAAGAACTGGGCGCCACATTGATAACAGACGTCGTCAACTTCAGTCGTGAACATAAAAAGTTGAATCTTCAGAACATCAAATCTGATTCATCCAGACGGACATCAGATTGTGTTCAAGACCAAAACACCATCAGAGACATTATCAACTTCAATCCGTTTAAATTGATCAACGTATCCGGTTCCTTAGCCAAAGACCCGAGATTGAACAGAAACGCCAATCCGCAATTGTTAACGAAAGAAAAGTTTATGGAAAGCATGTGTCAATCAGGAAGTCTCTCGGGCCTAAAAGACTACAGATTCAACTTCGAAAAGTCTCCAACACTTAACTACGATAAGATTGATTATGTTGGTACGAAACCGACGTCTTTGTTGAAGAGTCCTTTGCACGAGCATCTGTCCTTTTCGATAGAATCTAATTCCAGAGCCGTGGCAAATGGTGACAGTAAAAAATCTCCAAGAGAAACTTTATTAAAAAGCAGTAACGTTTCGCCATTGCCGGTTATCAATAATAAAAAAGGCAATTCTGAAGTTGCAAAGGTCTATTTGAATCCTGCTTCACCACCGAATCCTACAAAAGCGCCACGTAACAAGTGTTCTGAACTTCAACCGTCTAAACCCAAAAATGCTTTAGGAAAGAGTGAAGGACCAAAATTCGCGAAAAGGGAATCGTTGTTTCGAACTTCTCCATCGAAAGCTTTCAGTTCTCACAATACAAAAAACGATAAATGTTGTAAATCAGCTAATACTGCTACTACATTCACCAACAACAATCCGATAGCAAAACGTAAAAGAAGAGGAAGACGGGGGAAGAAAAATGGCGCCACGATTCCGCAAAATGTTGTCAGTGGTTGCAATGCTCAGAACGTTAATAAAACCACCATTCATCCGGCATCAAAATTAAAATTAAACGAGTTGAAACCAACAAATTTTGATGCTGCAACTAAGAAGAAGAATAATCCTGTTCTCAATCGGAAAGTACAACCACATCAAACTGACCTAAGACCTTCCAAATCTGATAACGTTCCCATCACCACGTCCGCAATTCTTAAGGATTGTTTGCTCCATGAGGACATTGACAAATACTTTCCGTCGAATAATGTCAAAGGTAGTTCCATGGTTTTGAATGTCGGGGATGTTAGCATTTTAATGACGGAAAAGGGGTGCAAGAAAGTATCTCACGAATCTGTCGAAACGATTGTGGACGAACAGTGGCAAAAGGTGGAGGAATTTCTAACACCTAAACCGTCCAACGCGAAAACATCAGTGTTCAAAGGTGCTACGGATGAGATCGATCGCGACATGTCACTACATGAAGTCATTGGACCCGAAAATATAATACCTGTAAAGCGAAGCAGTCCTGTGCCTATCCTACCAAAACCAGTTGCCGAAATCGGTACTACAAATTTGACCTTGAAATCTCTTCTAACAAATACAACGGTTATTGGTCAAAATGGTTTTGGTTCCGGTAATATGACTGTAACATTAATCACACCAGCAATTGACCAAAATAGTTCTGGCTCCAATAGCATAATTCTGACACCAGTCCTAACAAAACCATCAGCAGCTTATGAAAATAATTTCGGATCGAATGGTTTGAATGTAACATCGATCCCACAAAACACTTTACCAGTTGCCGAAAATAATTTTGAAAGGCAGAAAACTCCAGTACGTATTATTGCTGAAAGTGGTGTAGAAAATAATAACGAAGAGCGAATTCTTCCGATTCTTATCCCATCAAAATCAACAGCACTAGCTGAAAGCAGTTTTGGCGTCGAAAATGTAAATGAAAAATGCACAGTTCTAGCGCCTACCCCATCAGAACCAACTGCAAACGTGGCGGGAACCGTGCCAACGTCTACTCCATTAAACGCAACTGGAGTAGTCGAAAATGTTGGTCTAAAAAATACAAATGGAAACCAAACTGTTCGGCTACCCAGTCTATCAACACCGACAGCAGTTGTCGTTGACAGTGGTTTTGGTGTCGAAAATGTAACTGAACGAGCTGTCTCAGTGCCTTTCGCCGTTATCAAACATAATTTTAGATCGGAAAATACAAATGAGAAACGAATCGTTCGTCCTCCTATCGAGTCAATTCCAACTGTAGTTACTGAAGGTGGTTTTGGTTCCGCCAATGTAAATGTGATGTCGATTCCACCAAAAACAGCAACAGTCGCTGGTTTTGGCAATCAGCCATCGATACTACAGAATCCAAAGGAATCAGTTACTAATACTCTCCAAGCTGTTGTTACCCAAATCGGTTGCAATAACGGCAATCAGCCCGCAGTAAATTTCTCTGTTCCTTTACCAATCGTAGCTCAACAACCATCAGTGAATCGTGTGTCACATCGCGATTTGGCCGTTGGTCTCGTACCTTTCATTTACCGTCTTCTCATTTACAAAAACGAAAGATACACGTTCAAAACTGTGCGCGAGAAGATGAATTCAAAGATGGTAGCCAAGGAAACGGTGATAGCCGATTGGAAAATTCTGACGGATGCTTACGTTTGCACCTTTCAAACTGTGGGTAACCAGATGATAAGTTATCTAAAAGGAGTGGAAGTCAAAAGGTTTCAGTTGGGACTGCTCTTCAAAGAAATTGAAAACTTCTTCAGAAACAACGGATTTAGCAGCGTGACCCAGCCAATGATATTGTTCTCCATGTACGATATATTCGTATTATGTAAACCAATTAGTGAATCAGAATTTTTGGACAAGATGTGGAAGGACGTAGAACAATATGCAACCTATTTAATGAAGTTGAAGGCACAACAGTCCTCATCTAATGCTCCTTCTCAACAGCACGTTCCTACGACGTTGAACAGGCAAAATCCCACAGTTAATAACCATCAAATTGATAGCATTTCATTGAGCAGTAACACTATCCCTACTAACAACAGTGTTGTTGTCAACACTTCTGTATCGAATTATTCCCAAATGAGTAATGCTCCAAGAATATTATCCAGTGTTACACACGTCAGCAACCAGAGACTTCCAAATATTTACCAAAATGGAGGATATATTATTCATAATTACTCTTCTTCGAATAATTGCAATCAATTCAACGTCCAGAATCCACAAATACGCGACATTACAACTAACAACGTTGCAAATTTAGCCAAATCTAGTAATAATAATTTAGTGGCTAACAAGTTCGTGTCTCGCAGCAATAACAATAAAAAACAGTTGCCCAATATGCAACAGTACAGTCAGATATCAAAGCAAAATGCAGTAAATCAACAATCGTCTCACAATCCGAGTAACTACGGTTATCTTCAAAGATCTGATACTCTGCCTGGACAAGGACAAGAAAGACAAAGTCCTCAGCAAAATGTAACTTTGGCGCCGCCACCATCTTACCTCCAACCGATCCCTTCTGCTTCGATGGGATCGATCAATCCGTATCATAATCAATCTGTTATGTACAATTCCGTATATCAGCAGAACTCTCAACGGGGATCTGCTCATGTACAAAACGTTGGATCCCAGAATCAGTATGACCACAGTTCAAATTATCGAAATCCACCTCGACAAAATGTTCTCAATAACTACAATAGTTCTGTACATGTCCAGCCGCATATGTCGTTGGGGAGACAAGTCGGTTGTTCTACTTATCCTCCCCAAAACAGCGCTCCTTCACACAGTTATTTCCACAGTACGGTCTATCCTCCGACACTTCCTCAACATTCGACTTTCTCTGGAATTCCTTCAATGCAAAATAGCGTTCGAAACAATTACAATCATTCAGAAAGTACGTTTCAGTCGCACGTGAACGAAAGAAGCAAGAAAGAGAACAAAACCTTCGACAATTCCCGAAATTTGCATTTGCCTAGAATTGCGCCGCCTGTGTCTCAAACGTACCCAGTTCACAATTCCTTGCCCATCCAACACGTTTCCGCCCCGTCTCCTTCCGAAGCATCAAATTCGATCGTTAGTCCTGTTCGACAACAGATGATGTCACCTCAAAGTCAACAGTCACAGTGTTTGCCAACAGTTCAACCACCTGCGTCTCAAACGTTGTACCCGGTTCACAACCCCATGTCCACCCAAAACGTTTGTGCTCCACCTCCTTCTGAGGCATCAAACTCGATCGTTAATTCTGTTCCACAACAGTTGCTGGTGGCACCTCAAAAATCACAGTTTTTGTTGAGTGACTTGCTTCGTTCGCATCAGTTTCCTCTGTCGCCGACACCCATCAGTGTCGCTCTCGATAAGCCAAATCCTGCTGACTTCCCCGGAAGGAGCGATATTAGTGACAAAGACGGATCGACTGAGCAAAGACATTGTCAGGTGACCAGTAGTCCACCAGTTACCGAGAAAGATATCTCTTCACAACAACCTCCTGCAAATCCCGCCGACAACTTCAAGATTTACTTACCACCACGGTCTTCTGCCGATACAACAAATAAAGAAGCTCAACCAGAGGGCCCAGTATCTTCAGAAGAAGTACCAGCAGCTAATGTTCATGGTACATCATCTAACGACGATATCGTTAAAATAAGTGATTCTGAAGAAGAAGAAGACGAAGGAGAAGTTGAACCGGAGTACATCAGTATTGAAAAGTGGGTCATCATGAACCAGGAAGTTATCGACTTGGAAGACTATGACGATATATTTGAACCGAAATATTTGAAGCAGGACATTAAAAATGAAATGAATAATGACGGTTATGAAGAATCTGTAACGGTTGAGGTCAGTCAGTGTTGATTAAGGTTTTACGTAACTAGAATAATTGTCGTTTGTTACAGGAATTTCCACCAGAGGTGTCGTCTCCTGATAGTGGAATATGCACCCCCAAAGGGGTAAGTTTATATACCATCTGTGTCGTATGCATGGAGACTTAAGTCTTGATAATCGAAATAACAAAGCCTAGTACTTTGTTGTTGCGCATGTGCTGTTTATTGCTTATCATCTAATTAAAATTATCATTAGCAGTCGTTAGTAGTTAGATAATTTATGTTGCACGATTCTTTTGCATGTGGGCCAGTTTCGTAACGTTTTATCTTCGACCTATGATACTTAGAGCGACCCTTTCGACCTTCTTATCTAATTTTTGTTTAACATTTCTCGAATATCTACTTAAAACACGGTTTCTTCTGGCTTTTAAAAATTGTATTTCGATATTTGATGTGAGCATTAAACTATAACTGAATTATCAAAAAGAATATGTATGTTGATAATATTTAATACTTCTGATTAACTAACACCCTTCCCTTTGATTTGGATGACTTCTAATTATAATTGTTCGCTGCTCAGTATTTTAATATTTCTTGGGGTTAATGTTGCTATTACACAGGTATATGAATTTTGATTAACTTGAATAATTAATAATAATTTAATTATTTACAGTAAATTAGTAGTAAAGTAATACAGCTAATTTTACTGGAACATATCTGTTAGTTTACAAAAAGAAAAGAAATTTTAAAAAACAAGTGGGAACGAGGCTTCTGAAAGCTTTCAAAATTAAGTTGAATTAGATGATTACAAAATTTCAAGTGGTAACAGTTAATCAATTTTCATATGCAATTTTGACCTTACGAAATATGATTCGGTTTTTGTTTTTAGGATGAACTTAATATTTGTTTCTGTGGGGTAAAGGCAGCTTTTGTTTGTTCTTGTCGAAGTGTCATCTATTGCTCGAGACGTTGTCAGGTAAATTACTTTTTTTTTCATTGTCTTTTTGACTGAAAATTTGCGATTAAAATCGAACTCTACTTTAGAGAATGACCAAAAATCGGTTTAAGGTGGCGTTTTGTTTTAAATGCTCCTGCTTTTGACGATGTAAAGGCTTTAACAGTCAAATTCGACCTTTAGACGCAGTTTTCACCTTTATAATGCTCTTGATTCTCCTAATATTCTAATTGCACTATTTTTAAGCAATACATTACATTAAAATCTAGTTCAGTAAAAATACATCATTTGCTTTATGTAGGTATGTAAATATCTTTTTATTAATTTAATTTCTATCCATTACAAATTACATCAAATAATAATCAAAAATTGTTGCTGCTGTTACACCAACGCCGGGAATCGAACCCGTTACATTTACGCATCAACGCTCTGACTCGAGCAGTGACAGTAGCAACAACGTCGAAATATACCTACAAGGTTACAAATTCGTCGATCTAATCTATATTAATATCATATGAAGTACTTTCAATAGTGGTTAATATTTAATATTAATGTGAAAATTATTTTTTATCCGCTAATTACCTCAAATTAATGAGGAAAAATTGTTGACGTTGTCACACCCTCGCCGGGAATCGAACCCGGGACAGTTGGCTTTACCTACCAATGCAGCATTGAAAGTATTTCATATGATATTTTTTTTATATCATAAACATCAAAATAGGGTAGTTATCATGTCATAACACAATAAAATTTTTTATTAATTTTCTTCTAGGAAGTGGATTGGGATTCTCACCAAAAGGACTGTAAGTCACAGTAAAACTGAAGTAAATATTTGATGGTATGGTAAAGTTAGTTTCATTAAATGAAAAAAGTTTTAAGTATTAACTGATAACTGAAACTGATTTTTTTTTTGACTGCCTATGAAGGGACTTTTGTTCTTGTTTGTTGTTAGATAAACTTTGCATACGTATTATTGTATTAGTAGGTTTTCTGGTGCAATATAAAAGTAGAAAAAATGTTATTGTTAATTTCATAAATTAGCGCATTTTATTTAGGTATTTAAAAGCGCACCAATGCCAAAGAAAATTCTTTATGTTTCCTACTACTACAATTTTTTATGTAGTTCTGTGTCCTTAATATGTAGTAAGTAATGTTAATGATTTTTTTTGTTTTTTTTTTTTAATGATACACCAACACAAGATAGTTAGATACGTTCCGATAATACAATAATTTTATTTTTTTTTAATTATATCGAATTATTCCCAAATGAGTA